AGACAGACCAAGATAAATACGATAGAAATGGGAACACGGGGCACACTCTGGGCTCCAGGGAATGATTCTTCCCTACCGCACAGAAAGTAGGGTGGTGAAGAAAGTAGTAGTACTATAACGTGACAGAACTTAATTACCACCATGACACGGAGGTAAAAGTTTGTCTTTAAAAGCTGCAAATAACCTGCATTTTATTTATATTTTTAAAAGCTGTGAAAAACTTTCATAATATTTAAATTCCAGTAGCTCAAGTTGTGAAAATAGTCTGAGAAGAGCTCATCACTCTCACAATTTGTTAGACATCTCGGCAGGTGCAGGCTCATTCACACAGGTGCTCGAGGAAGGTCGTCTTCTCACTGGAAATCACAGCAAGGGAGGAAAAATGCCCAAATAGCAAAGTTGGCAGAGCTGGTTTATTCACTAGTATCATGGTTCCAAAAGCAGCTATCCTCACAGGCTGTGAGGAGTCACTGCTGAATAGCGGAAACCAGGAGAAGAAAGACCAGAAATGAGTAGTAATCACAGAGACTGTTTGCAGGCATTTTGCAAACAAATCAGAAAAAGGGAGGCCTGAACTGACTGCTGCATTAGGCCAGTTCCAATTAGCGTCTACACAATTAGAACTAAGAAGCTAAAAGCCATGTTTTCCAGTGAGCCTGAGTCCTCAGATGTAATGTTTACAGCACACGCTTTGATTATTTTTTTAGGAGTTTTATGCCAGTTTTCTTTTATGTTTGGTCTGCGCAGCTGTCGTGTCCAATCTTTTAAGAGTTCTGTGTGTAAAACTCTTCTTCCATCTCTGTTTGTAAATGTCCTTCTGGGGGACGCTTTGCAGGATTAAGTCTTTTGAAAAGATCTTTATTTCAAATTAATTCCTTTTCACTGAAAGAACATATCCATATCATTTATTTGGAGAGGCTGTAAGTTGCTGCTATCTGTTTCAATATCATTCTGGTAACATTCAGATGTGTCACAGAAAATGAAAAAGGCTTTAAAATAAAACACATTATTATGAAAATAAAGTACAAGGGACTCTACAGCCTGTATAATGAAACAGGTGTTTACAATGGCTTCTCTGTGGCAGTGAATTTAAAGAAGCCCTCAAAGAATAGTAGTGCTATTTTTGCTATCCCAATATTACAGCGGCATTTGCACAGGGATTAATCTCCCACATGCCATCTACTGCTCTGTGAACACAGCGAGGAGAAAGAGAAGCGTTGCGTTAGGAACTTAGGAACAAGAAGAGGATGGAACCACTGAGCTCCGTTACAGATAAACTCCCTTTCTAAGTCAAGAATGTTTCTTTTGAGATCCAAACGATTTTTGGAGCTTTCCTCCTTTTGTCAGTTCCTCAAGCCCTTCTGGCACACATATTTTTCAGCTGCTCATTTTTTCTCTCTGTTCCCTTCCCTTGTGTTCCTTTTCAAGTGCCCAATTTCTCAGATTTCAATTTCCTGCCTATAAGGTTACTGAAATAATCCTTTCTCAAATTTCATAGTATAATACGTACAGTTTGGCTAAATCTCTGTTCATTATAGCATGCTTTCAAAGCATTCAGGGAGGTCATTAAGACGATGTTCGTTATGAGCCCTATTATTGCACTATGCAGCAAAACTAATTAAATAAAGAAAGCCGACATGAATAAAACCATTAAACGCTGTTCCTGGCTTTGAGACTGTACCAGTCCGAGCCGCGTTTCAGGAGAGACGCGAGGCAGTGAGTGATGGAGGGGCCCGTGCAGGCACCGCGTCCACCCAGGAACCTCCAGGCTTCAGGAATTCCTGCCTGACCATCATTGTCAGAACGGCATCCCTTATTACTGGGGATTATTTGCTTAGGCTGGGGGAAAGTCACGGACCTGCATGCCAGGATATAGTCTTGTTTTCAGAGTCTGATACTAGAAACCAGCGACCTCTAAATTACGATAATGCTGCTGATAAATTTTACTCTATGGCCTTGTGTAAGTCCCTCAAGCGCCATGGGACACAATATCCCAGCTGGTAACAAGAGACGGTTATTGTCATCTACCAGCAGTGGATAGTGAAAATGAGAGATTAGCTAAAGGTTGTAAAATGCAATATGAATAAAATAGATACACATGCTGTGTGCCAAGTAGCATTATGTTGAGGAAGTTCCTAGTCTGGAGTCCTTTTGATTTTAGCAAGATTAGATCACACTATAAAATAGTCCCTGTTGAAAAGGCTAGAATTTTTTGTAGCTATAAACATGCACGCTACATAAATAGCTGTAACACATTACAGCAGAGAATTATCTCATACCTAAATAAAGAAATTATTTCTCAAATGTGTCATCAAGCATAGCACACAAATACTGGCTCATCTGCCAGCTCCACGCTCTCTCCTTCACAGAAATACTGTTGTGTTAACTCAGAAATGACATTACATCAGCTACAGACTAAACATCCTCCTTGCCACTTCTCTGTTCCACAGCTTCAAGCTTCCTTTGCCTATGAGCTTCTGCTCATCTCATGCCGATCAGGAATTAGTCACAGCACAAGCAGCAGTAGATTAGCCAAGGTCTGGCAGCACTGTGC